CGGCCGGGGCGCGTTACCGGCGGGAGAGCTCGATGATGCGGGAGCGCTTGGCGAGGGAGACGTCGCCGACGCCGAGGACGGCGAGGATGCCGCACATGGTGGCGGCCGGCGGGACCTGCTGCGCACCGACGAGGTCTGAAGGTGATTTGACTAATCGTTGGGCTGAATGGACAGAAACAGGGAACAAGGTCGTACCTCACGCCTCGGTGGCCAGACGCCGCGGGCGAACGGGGCGGGGACGGCGATGCCCCGACGAGGACGGACGGGCGACGGCGCCGGCGGCGACGCAGGCGCAGGTGGTGGTGGGGGGTCAGGTACGGCGTTCTACGGCGGCTCGGTGGTGGTAGAGCAGCAGGGAGGGGGCTAGGAGAGATGCGCGTTTGGGGTTCGTAGCGGGCCAGGCTGATCGCGCAGATTCAGCCCACGAGGCCCCTACTTTGCCACATTGAATGTAATTATATGTAATTTTTTTCTTAATCTCACTTAGGTGACAATTTTATTTGAGAAAAGAAAGAATAATTACTCGGGCAAGACTTGTTCGCTAGCTAGCCTACGACTGAACCCCCAAAAAAACCCTATGATTGAACCTGTTGCAGTGGCTCTTCTTCTCCCCGTAAAAATGAACATCGTATTGGAGAGAGAAAGGAAAAAAGACAAATGAGTGCACTTGTCGCTGTGGAAACTCGGCGGTTTTGGTATGACCTAGAAAGCCGATAAGAAGTAGAACCAAGAAAATAGAAAATAAATTGGTAGAGAAAATAACCCAAAAAATTAAGTTGAATATGTATAAAAATGGAAATGTTATTTAGTTGATGTCAGTTTGTTCGCCCCTCCTAGCAAACACGTTGGTTGCTGTTAGATCTCCTGACACAAATCACAACACAAGGTTGGTGTCATACAGCAATGTGTGTGGTTACACTTGCTATATGTGATTAAATTTTGGGACAAAAAATTCTAGAAATTCTGGAATTTTTATATCTTTGAAAGAACAATAATCACTAAATTTCCCATGTGCGCACTACAAATCCCAAAAGTTGCCATATTTTTTAGAAATCAAAATTTTCTAAACTTGCCATGTGTAATTTTATATTTTTTTATCACATAAAAAAAATTCAAATGTTGCCATGTTTTTTAGAGTAAAAAAATTCTAAGTTTCCCATGTGCAATTTTAATATAGATAGCAGGTCAATTTCACAATTTAAATCATGGCACACTTTGAATTAGTCCATGGCAATTTTGTTAGTTACATCATGATAGTTATGTTGTAGGTGCCATGGCGATTTAGTTATCTAGACCACGGTAATTTTTTGTAGGTAGCATGGCAATTTAGACAATGGTGGTTTTTTGTAGGTAGCATGGAAAATACATTATTTTTTACCATGCCAATTTTTTCAGCTAGGCCATGGATCTTTTATTAATTATACGTTGGCAAATTTTTGTATTTTTTACACACACAAAATTATCTTTGAAGCATGGCAAATATATTGGACTTATCTAGATAAAACATTTTTCCTATTGAAGTTGCCATTGGACCAATTATATTGTTTTACAAATTAGAGCATGGTAATTTTTATTTTTTGTAGATACAATGCCACTTTTTTTTAATATGGTTAAATTTGGAATTAGAGGATGGTAGTTTTATAAAGTATAGCATGACAATCGTAAATTTATGTTTCTCTGCTTTTTCGGTATCAGTTTTTTTTGTTGATGCCATTTTCTTTGCCAAAAAGTACTAAATTGGGCCTAGCCCATTCTTTCCCTCACGCTTAATACGCCAAGTGGGTCTCGCTGAAATCGCACTACAGCGAACATACGAAAGACTTTTCGGTTGTCATTGACAAAGTCAGGCTAGCTCTAGTAAGCGAGCGGCGATAGAGGCGCATCGACGGCTTGTCCTAGCGGTTGTAATGATTGTTCGATGGTCCAGGGTCCTCGATACAATTTTTATTATATTTGGTGTGCTTTGTCCTTCAAGTGAGATTTTATAATTGATGTTTTTTGGCCAAGTCTATAGAAAACACTTCATCGGTCCCGAATTTAGTGTTGGATACATCCGTATCTAGACAAATCTAAGACAATTTTTTTTGGAAGGGAGGTAATATATGTTAAGATCTGTAATATTAATACAAAAATATATACTCCTATGTAAAGAGTCTAAAATGAAGTAATCAGGTATTGTAGATATTGCTACATTTTTACATGGACTTGCTTAGTTTTGAAGCGGGGGAGTAGGCAAGACGGCATGATTCGTCAAAGTACCCGATCAATCTGTTTGCATTTCCATAAATTAGTGATGAATCATGTACCTTCCAAAATTCTGAAGAGAAGAAAAACGCATTCCCTTCCTCTTCCTGTTATTAGGGCACATGCATGCTGCTGTTCATACCCCGGCCAAGTTAAGGAAGCAACCTCTCCGCCTTCCAAGCGATCCACGACGATGGCCTTCCTCATGGGCGTCATCGTGAGCCTCTCCTTCTGGCTGCCGGTGTCGGCGCTCTTCTGCTGCGCGATCTACCTCTGCCGCAAACCAGCGGAAGCGCCAGCGCCAGAGAACGCCACCGCCACCACCACCGCCACCGCCACGGGCCGAAGAAGGAAGCCGTGGAGGCTGGGGTGCTTCCGGTACTCCGCCGCGGCGGTAGGCGGCGGCGGGAGCGGCGCGGCGGAGAAGGTGTGCGCGATCTGCCTCGGGGAGCTGGCGGCCGGGGAGAAGTGCAGCGAGGTACCGGCGTGCCGGCACGTGTTCCACCAGCGCTGCATCGCGCTGTGGATGGAGAAGAAGAGCACCTGCCCGCTCTGCAGGGAACCCATCGCGCCGGCGGCTGCCGGCGACATTGTTTAGTTGGTTAGGCAGGACTAGGTTCGCTTGTGCATGCTCCCTACGTTGCTAATTAATTAATGTTGCTGCGGCCGGATCAATTGTTTCTTGTTATTTGGTCACGCGCGAGCTTAACTTCTTCTTTTTTTAACATGAGTACAGACGCAAGCAATCGTTCATACATACGCGCATACACTCATCCTTATGAACGCACACACGCACATCCTAGCCGGCATGTCATCTTGAAATTTACGAAGTCAACGTAGGTGCCTCGTCGTCGATGGGAACGTCTCCTCCCACTGAAAGCTCATCGCCGAAAATCCTGAAATAAATCCAGGAATAATACGAGCACCGAGAGTTGGTGGGCTGGGGATACCATTGTCTCTCTAACCATCCAACCACAGGTTGATTCGCGCACGAGCTTATCAGTACTGAAATCTGCTTCTTTGCCGAGTATCAGAGTACTCGATGAAGGACCATTTACGCTCGGCAATGTCTTTATCGAGTTTTACTCTTGAGTATTTTTTTTATCTCGTCACTCGGTAAAAGCCGTGTTTACCTAGTGCACAATAAAATGCACTCGGCAAAGAGCCAGAATGGCAAAGGTAGTTTTTTCTGTAGTGGATATCGTCTAACCTTGTTGTCGACATCGTCCCTGTTACTGGCACACGCGGGGATTATGATGCCGGAGCCGAGTAGGCCATGCTACTACCAGCGTTAGCATATAGACGACAAAGCATATATAAGAAGACAAAAATTAAGATGAAAAAAAATGTAGAAATGATGTATGCGATGATTGTCTAGATGAAAATTCGGCGGTACCCCCACATTGGCAAGGGTACAGCTGAGAGTTGTTGTCTCTTTACTCGGAGTAACTTGGGAGTGGTCTCGAGATTTTCCCACGGAGTGGGGGTGGTGGCTTCTCCATGTGGCTATGGTCTTCGAGTTAGCTCCAACTTCCCCTTGTGGAGCGAGCAACCTCTCGTGGTGATGAGACGAGGCATGGCCTCTTTGGGGCATGGCTCCATGTGAGTTCCCTCGGGGTTTGTCCTCTTCCCGCCGAGGCTCATGCGAGGCCTCTCCATAAAGATGGCAAAGAGAGGCCTCCAAACCCAAGAACCTGTTGTTTCTCGGGACCTAGACCAGCTCCCATCAATCCAGGCACTCTTTGTCGGAATAAAAAGACATCACACACCACGGCTCGCTTGCAAACAAAACCTAAGTTTACCACAACTTTCCATGTGTATCAACAATTCATCTCGCGCAAGCTCCTTGTGAGTATCTTCGTACTAAATAAGACGAATGATTCATTCCTCAAACAATAAGTATGATGCCAAATAACTAAAAATGATAAATAGAGTGGAGGTCACATCACTCGACCAAAGTTTCCCTGCATCTCGCCTACTATTCCAAACCACGCAATGTTCGAATTTGGTCTCAGGCAACAACCCGAGAGAAACCATGAGGGAGTATATAGCACTTGCGATCTTCCTTGTTGGGCTAGGCCCTCTGTAGTTTAAATGAACTAGTTCAACCTTCAAGTAGAAAAAGCAGTCTAGAGATTTTGTTGTTGTTGTTGGTATTTTTCTCCTTTAGATCTGCGAGCAATGAAAAACAAATCTTTTTTATACAGACAGCCGTGCTAATCAACTTACAATTGAACCCCAGTTAATTAAAAGAAAACTGTTCGGACCTCTTGCATTGAATCTTCTCTGCGTAAAAATGGACACGATGAACAAAGTTCGCACACGCGTGCAACTAAGGCTGCGTTTAACTGACATTGTGGTGGATTATCATAGTCCCATATGTTTCCTCATATAAGATGATGTGCCGGCTCTGTCTCTCAAAAGTACTCATAGGGATAGTGTGTGCGTGCATGGGTTCATAGGATGAGTGTATGCTCGTGTATGTGAGCGACTTCGAGTGTACCGTGCTAAAAAAAAAGAGATGTGTCTAGGGCACATCTAGATGTGCCCTAGTTATTGCACATTTAAGTGAGTGAATCAAGCACAAAGAGAAAAAGAAAAAAAATCCACACGAATCTCGACGTAAGATCAATGACATAGGACTTAGATGTACAATATTTATGGTACATCTAGATGTGCTTTAGCAAAATTGAGAATTTAAATAAAACGATGTTTCCTCATATCTGACCTATAGCTAGAGCCTAGAAACCTAAGAAATAGCAATTGCGCAAGATGGTATGTGTATGAGATCCCTAATAAAAGCACACGGTCGGGCTGTGTTTGCGTTGCCTTTCGAATCATACCTTCCACTTA